CAAATTATTAAGTTCTAAAGATTATTCTAACCATATTAAAGAGCAATAAGAAAAACAAGATTAATAAGATCTTTTGTTTTATTCAAATTTAAAGACTAGGTTGGAGAACCTAATGAAGGAAGATTTGTTATGTAAATATTAAATAAACAAAAACTTAAATAGAGGGCAGTAAATTGGTATATTATATTAAATATTATTAGTTAATTAAATAAAAGATGATAATAAAAACGCTTTAGATTTTGAATTGCATGAATTTATACTAAAAAGTTAAATGTAGGATCTATATATTACTGTTTTAAACGAGTCTGTGGAATCATTTAAAGAGCTTTAAAAAATATATGAGACATTATAAAAAAATGGACAATTACAACAAATTATGGAAATATAACAAGAAAAATCGTAAGTTAAAAATTTATTTAAATTATTTGAGCATAATTATATAAGAATGAAGAAATTAATAATGGCTGAAGAAAATGAGTAAAAATTAGATTAAGCAACTTAACAGAAATAATAATTATTAATTTAAATAAAAGAGCTAAAGGATAGAAATAATTAGTTTTCCTAAAAAATTATTTAATTAGAATCAGAAATAAATTAGATTAATGAGTTATTTAAATGCAAATTAAACGAAAAGAAAATGGAATTAGAAAAATCGATTTTAGAAATAAGAACTTGTTAATTAGAGATGGAAGAATCTAAAAAATACTAATTAAGTAAAACAAAAGATTTAAATGATTAAATTTTAAGCTTAAACTCAGATATAAAAAAGAAATGCGAATAAAATTCAACATTATAAACAGATTTAGAATAATTAAATAAATTGTTTACGATTTAGCGTAATTAAAAAATCTAAGATTTATTATAAATATAGAATTTAAAACCAAAATTATTAAAAAATGATTTTTGGATTCGATTATTCTATATTTTACAAGAAAAATCTAAAAAAATAATCAAAAATTCTACCTTAATATATTCAGCAACTGGGGATCAATTAAACAACTCATTCTGGAAAAACTGCGATGGAAAGGCAAATTTATTTATGGTATTCAAATCAAAAAGTGAATATGTTTGCGGTGCATATTCACCCTGCTTATGGTAATAAAATCAAAGAGATTTTGTAAAAGATGAATCAGGATCATCATTTTTATTTTCTTAAACACATGATTAAATATATCCATTGAAAAATGATAAAGCACAATATGCAATTTATTGTAATCCTAATTATGGACCAACTTTTGGGAATGGTAGTTGTGACATTTATATTTATCCTAACTTTATAGGTGGAAATTAGTCTTTTTAGTAAGGATGTTATGAATATGAACAATATTAAATTAAAAATAAAGGTACTCATTTGTTTGGATAAGAATAGCCATGCGTGGTAGAATGTGAAATATTTTAGATTAATTGGATGTGATTATTATTATAATTTATATATGAAAAAACCTCCTTAAATGTCTATTTTGAAGAAGTAAAAATTCTAACATTTTAAATCTAATTATATTTTGTTTAAGCAAATATTTATTTATTTGTAAAAAGGTATAGAGTAATATATATTAATTTAAGCATTTAGAAAAATTAATTGGCATACAGTCAGAATAATTTGGTTTTAAAATTACTATCTTCTACAGAATTT